TTTATATCCAAAGATGTGTACATGAATGTTCACAGCTGCATAATTCATAGTAGCCAAAACCTGGAAATAACTCAAATATTCAACAGTAAATAAAAATGTAGTATATACAATGAAATATTATTCAGCAATAAAAAGGCACAGATTGCTGACATGCTTCAACATGGATGAACCTCAAAAACATTACACTAAGTGAAAAATGCCAGACACAAAAGATCACATATTGTGTGATTACATTTATATGAAATGTCAAGAGGCAGACCCATAAATACTAAAAGATCCGTGGTTGCCTGGAACTGGGGGTGGGAATGAGGAATGGCAGGAGGGATCTCTTTGGAATGATGATGGTATCCTAAATTTGGATATGGGGATGGTTGCACAACAGTTAAACCAGGGGAATTTTAAGGTATGTAAATGATACCTCAATAAAGCTGTTATTAAAAAAGAAGGCATAAAAAAGACAAATATCATATGATCTCACTTATTTGTGGAATATAATGAACATAACAGTCTGAGGAACAGGTAGACCCAGAGTCGTGGAAGTAGGGTACAGACCGACAACCCTCAGAAGAGGGAGTGGGGAGAGGGAAGAGGTAAACCACAGAACTTATATGCATGTACACATAACCAATGGACACGGACAACAAAAGTGGGGATGGGATGGGGGGATGGGGAGGAGGGAGTCAATAGGGTAAAAAGGAGAAACATATGTAACAAAAATAAATTAATAAAAAAAAGAAAGTCTACAATATGCATCAGAAAAAAAAAGAAAGAAGGCATAGCCCAAATATAAACCTTCTAAGAGTATTTGCATTTTAAAAGGGTCTCTTTAAAAAGATTTTAAAAATTAGAGTATATGAAAGGCCAGGTGACAGACTGGGCTTGAAATAACAGCCAGACTTCTTCGGGTCATCCTCCTAAGCAGTGTCTGCTCTACCCCAGGTACCCCGGCTATGCCTGTGCCCTTTTGTACACTCTGGGGAGCAACAGGAACAGAGCTGCATCCCGCTCACCTCCAGCCTTGGCCAGGGCCCCACAGGGAAGCCAGTACATGCCTCAGGCAGCCAGATTCATGCAACAGCACCCTCGTCTGATGCCTCAACTTTCCATGAGGCAGGCATGGAATCGCCCCACTTCACCCCCACAGCGGGTTCAGTACAGCTGGAGCAGTTGACAGCCCTGTATTCCCTTCCCTTCTCTCAGAAGGGCCCTGCACCTCATCCTCCCACCTCAGCTCTTCTCAGTTTACAAGGCTGCTCTTGGGAGAAGTTCGGATGTGGGAGCTGGGGCAGGAAGCTGCTGATCCATGGTCAGGGCTTCTATTTAGCTCTGTATCCCCCAAGAGCCTGACCAGCTTAGATGCACTTTTTATCCTACAGCTGTACTTCAAGTAGAGGAATCCCTTCTACAGACCCGGCCCATACCTGGCACTACGGATAGAGTGCTCCTGCTTCTGGAAACTCAGGGCCCAGCATGCCTGCCTCTGAGTTTTCTTCATCTAGCATACAAATATATCCCACTATTACCTTCACAGGACACAAGCACCTATTCCGTAATTGTGTCTTAATCCCCCATCCACTTAGCTCAATATAATTAAAGCAAACATAGTGAGGGCAGGAACCATATTTAAGACCTCTTGCATCTTCTCCAATACATCTTCCCCACAAAATGCCAAGTGTAGGCAAAGAGCAGAGGAATGGTAAATGCCTAATTTTTAAAAGCTAAAGAACCAAACATTAATGGTAGATTTTAAAAAGTTAAACCACAAAGTTGTTGTTGTTGTTGTTTTATCCAATAATTTTTTTTTCTTTATTGCTCAGAGAGAGAGAGGAAGGGAGAGAGAGGGAGAGAGAGAGAGAGAGAGAGAGAGATCTCAATGGGAGAGAACATCAATTGGCTGCCTCCTGCATGCCCCCCACTGGGGATCAGGCCCACAATCTGGGCATGTGCCCTGACCAGGAATCGAACCAGTGACCTCTTGGTGTATGGGTCAATGCTCAATCACTGAGACACACTGGCCCAGCCAGAGTTGTTGTTTTACTACACAGAAGGGTTTCTTTTATTTAAGTTTAGGTTGTAGGGCTCTAACATCAGCCTGGCATTTACAATGACCAAAACAAAGCAAAAACAGAAGACAGTCTCTCCAAAATACAAATTCGTTACCCAATAATATACTACCCAGGATAAAGGAAAAAGAGTTTCTCACCCCAGTTCTTAGGGGAATTTCTTCACGCTTAAAAGGGGAGAAAAGTGCTGAAGTCAAGTGAGTTACTAAACCATGTTAATGGTTTCTTAGTCTGTCCACCACCTAAGTCATTCAACTTTGTAAGTTGGTTCCAGGTACCATAGGTAGGTACTTGGGTGGTGCCACATTCTGACCCAGAGAATTTGCCTTCTTTTTTTTTTAATTGATTTTTAGAGAGAGAGGAAGGGAGAGGGAGAGAGAAACATCGATGAGAGAGAACATTGGCCGCCTCCTGCATGCCCCCCACTGGAGATTTGGCCCACAACATGTGCCCTGACCAGGAATTTAACCAGTGACCTCTTGGTGCATGGATAAACACTCAACCACTAAGCCACACTGACAGGGTGAGAATATGCCTTCTTACTGTAGGATCTAGTCATGAGCCACACAAGGCCAATAGCCAACATGAGCAAGACAGCAGTAAACAAAACGGCTCCAGCAGATCCAGGTAAATGATAACCCAACTCCTGAAATACAAGGGAACATGAGAGAGAGAGCAAGAGAGGGAGAGAGAGAAAGAGGAATGACAATCTTATGTTCCATTACTTAATAGGCTCTCAAAAGCACCTTCAGTGATTTATACATTTATGCCCCTGGTCCCTAGCATATTGCCTGGCACATAGTAGGTAACTTCTTGACAGAATAAACATATAAACTAACCACTGATATTTTATCAAAGGCCAAAGCCAGATATGGAATAAAATAAATCTGGTAACATAAGGACTTGTCACCAACTTTTGCCATATACCTCCCTCAAGAACCCTGTGCACACACTCAGAATTAACTTGGGAAAATGTCCAACATCCCTTTGTGATGCGAATCTAAATGGTCTGTGAGTTAGTGACTAAAAGCCTTCCATCATAGGCATGTTAGAAGTTAATTCTTTGTTTTTAAAATGACAGACCATGCACCCAGAGAAGCACAAAGGCCAGCTGTATTTCAGAATGGATTCTATCATGATGTAACTTAATATAGACTCAAAGAACTAGAATTAGTTTTCATACCATCTAGAAACAACCCTTAGAGCAAAATCCACAGATGCCAGATCTCCTTATTTTACCATAACTCTAGTCACTGTCTGCAACGGACTGAATGTTTATGTCACCTCCAAAATCTTAATGTAGTCCTAACCCCCAATATGGTGGTATTAAGAGGTGGGCCTTTGGGTGAGGTCACGAGGGTGAAGCCCTCATAAATGGGATTAGTGTCCTTACAGAAGTGGTCCCAGGGAGACCCCCTGCCGCCTTCTGCCATGTAAGGACGCAGTAAGATGTCTGTCTCAGAACCAGGAATGTTTCTCATCAGACACTGGCTCTTTCAGGGCCTTGATCTTGGATGTCCAGGATTCCAGAACTGTGACAAAATGTTGCTGTAAGCCACCCAGTCTATGGCATTTTGTTATAGCAGCCCGAACAATGAAGACGCTGCCTTATCTGGACGCTTGGGAAGGCAGGGGAAGAGAAACGACATGAAAAGTTACTGTTGGAGGAGCTCATTGAAAGGACATGGCAGTAGGTTGACCCAAGAGCTGGACCTGGGCAATCAGAGGCTCCTCGCCCCCTCCCCTGTCCTTGGAGTATGTGTTCTACCCACTGTCCCCACACTAGGAGCCGTTTCAAGGATGTAGCCTTGAGAGGGTAATGTGTTGTTGGGACCACACAGATGGTATATGTGACTGAACCCTCTTAAGGCCTCTATACGAACTTTCAAGATTCTGACAGGCAGGTGAGATTTGCTCATCTTGTGACTGCCCAAGACAAGCCTCATTGGTAAGTTCCCTTGTTTATTAAAGCTGCCACCTACAATCTGGGGTGGTCTGTCTCTTTTTCCAGTCTCTCCTTGCCATCTGTGTATGAGGGCCAGTTTCTAATTTCACTAGGGCAGCTCCTGAGATTGTGAACCAACAATTACAAATTGTCAGTCACAACTAGGTTTCTAGTCAGTCACAACTAAATCAAGCCATTGAATTAATACACATTGAGCCTCTATTTTGTGCAAAATTAAAATTTCTCTTGAAATATAAGAACTAAGCAACACCACACACACACACACACAAATACCCAATGAACTTTGCCAACAGCTTTGCAGGATCACCCACCTGCCCTTAGAGTCTAGTGGAAAATGATTGTGGTAAATGGCATCTTTGCTGGAATTTCAGCATCTAACCTCAGAGAGCTAGACAAAACCTTTGACATCTAGTTAAACCCGTCATTGCAAAGGGTTATTGAGACCCAAGGACCAAGCTTACATAGCAAGTTAGCATGATGGAAAAAGAAATTGTGTCTACTGACCAGGCACTTTACATGATTTCCTAGGTAACTGCACCGAATGAGTTACCATCACCAGCAGTAACTCCTTAAAACGGCAAAGGCCAGGAGAAGACCATTAGCCAATTCATTACCAAGGGCTCTATCTGGACCTGTTCAGAAGGAGCTCATTCAATTGTTCATTGCAAGTCCCAGCCCCATGTTGTCTTCGGCAAGAAAACGTTTAAAGCAAGGACACACAGGAAGGGGCTGTGGGGGAAACAACCGGATGTTCAAGTTAATTCTTATGCACATCTTCTTTGATCAGAATCAGAAATAGCATCCTTATGGAAGTACTCCAAAGCTAAAGTTTGCAAAAGAAAAATCAGTACAATAAAGATTCTCTTGATTTTACACCTGTTCCAAGTTCTAGAACAATTCCTGAACTTTGTAATCTTCAGAGAATGTTTTCTTGGGTATTCGTGGCCAGAGGCATCAGAATGAGAGCTGACCTGAGGACAGACAGGTCTCTTGGGAGATCCCAGCACCTCGTAATTCTACCAAACAGGAGGGCATTCGGGCAGCCAACACTTGTGTGAGGAGCACACACACAAAGCATGCAGGCTGCGTGGGGACACGGTCTTCATAACCCTTTTGGCAGTGGCAGGAGAAGAGCCAAGTCCGTTGACACATTCTGCTATATCAGCGCAGAGCTCCGGGCCAATTCCACACTTGTTCACATCTAGAAACAGAACAAATAGACTCTTCTGGTTAGTTTCTCTATCTAGCCCCTTCTGCACCCTGTCTTCCAGGCTATTCAAGGCTCATCCTCTGCCTTTCCCCCTCTTGCTGGTCTACATGCTGCTCCTTGTACACATCAGGCACAGCCCTGCCTTGGGGCTCAGCAACATCTGGAAGCCTCCTCTCCTCTCCCACGTGTCTCACCACCCCTTGCATCCCTTTTCCCTGATTTTTCTCCATAGAATATGACATCAACTAATATGCTTCATAGTTTCCTTGTTTGTCTCCTGACTAGACTGTAAACTTCACGAGGAAGGGAATCGTCTTTTCAGTTTGCTCTTGAACCCAGGACAGCGCCTCATCCACAGTGGGAGTGCAGTAAAATTGGACACAGAAATGGGTGCATTAGCCAATCTTCCTTGGGGGTGGGGGACAAACATAAGTTTTCTTTTTCTTTTTTTTATTCTCACCAGGGACATTTTTCCATTTTTTGGTTCAGATAGAGCGGGAGGGAGAGAGGAGGAGAGAGAGAGAAACATAAGGGACACATCGAGTGGCTGCCTCCCGCATGGCCCTGGGCCGGGGACAAACTGCAACCGAGGTACGTGCCCTTAGCGGGAACTGAACCCAGGTCTCTCTGGACCACAGGCCGACACTCTAACCACCGAGGCAAACCGACCAGGGCAATTTTTCTTTTTTATTTATTTTTATTATTTTTTAATATATTTTATAATTTGTTTATTTATTTTTGTCACAGATGTTTCTCCTATTACCCCACTGATCTCCCCCTCCCTCCTCACCCTGTCCCCAGCTTTTTTGTCCATGTCCATTGTTCATGCATACATGCATATAAGTTCTGTGGTTTATCTCCCTCCTACTCCCTTTTCTGGGGACTGTCAGTCTGTACCCCACTTCCACATCTCTGGTACTACCCCATTCCTCAGACTGTTATGTTCATTATATTCCACAAATAAGTGAGATCATGTGATATTTGTCTTTCTCTGCTTGGCTTGTTTCACTTAGGATGATACTTTCTAGGTCCCTTCATGTCATCTCAAAGGATAAGAGATCTTTCTTTCTTACAGCTGCATAGTACTCCATTGTGTACATGTACCACAGCTTTTTTATCCATTCATCAACTGATGGACATTTGGGCTGTTTCCAGATCTTAGCTATTGCAAATAGTGCTGCTACACACATGGGGGTACATATATTCTTTCTGATTGGTGTTTCAGACTTCTTAGGGTATATTCCTAGAAGTGGGATCACTGGGTCAAATGGAAGTTCAATTTTTAATTTTTTCAGGTAACACCATATTGTTTTCCATAGTGGTTGCACCAGTCTGCATTCCCACCAGCAGTGTACTAGAGTCCCCTTTTCTCCACACCCTCGCCAACACTTGTTGTTTGATGAGTTGTTGATGGCGGCTTTTCTGACAGGTGTGAGGTGATACCTCATTGTTGTTTTAATTTGCATCTCTCTGACGATTAGTGATGTTGAGCATTTTTTCATATGTCTCTTGGCCATTTGTATGTCCTGTTTGGAGAGGTGTCTATTCAGCTCCTCTGCCCATTTTTTAATTGGGTTCTTTATCTTCCTTTTGTTGAGTTGTATGAGCACTCTATTTATATTGGAAATTAACCCCTTATCTGATACATCATTGGCAATTATGCTCTCCCATACAGTGAGTTGCCTTTCCATTTTGATGATTGTATCTTTTGCTGTGCAGAAGCTTTAGAGTTTGATGTAGTCCCATGTGTTCATTTTCTCCAAGTTTTCTTTTTAAAAAAAATATGTTTTTATAAATTTTTAGAGAGAGATAGAAATATTAATGTGAGAGAGAAACATTGATCGGCTGCCTCCTGCACACCCCCTACTGGGGATCAAACCCAAAACCTGGGCATGTGGCCTGACCAGGAATTGAACCAGGACCTTTCAGCCCATAGGACAACAGTCAATCCACTGAGTCAAACCAGCCGGGCACAAGCATTAAGTTTTCCATGATGAAGACTGAGAAGGGGCCTGCTCTCCATGGGAAATGACATGGACTAGCATTGAGGGACTTTTCCTAGTTTACATGATCCTAGCTGAATTGTGCCTAATCTTCAACAAAGCGTAGCAATATTACTTCAGTATCACCAGCCTCAGGACTTTTATCCCCCCCCCCCCCCCCGCCCTATTGACCTAAAGTGTGCTCTCATCTCTTATATTTCTGTTTTTTATACAAGACTTGGGAATGGATTGTGACACAATGGCCCTTGGATGAGGTTAAGCCTGATAAACACAAAACCTTAGATACAATACACTAAAAGTATAGTAAGTCTGTGTATTTGTAAAGTTGGGAAGGCACATCGGTGGAAATCTGGATCAGAAAGGCTGATTTCTGATCAATTCCCTGATACAACTCGTGAAGACAGTGGTCTGTGGTCTGAATATACAGCTTGTCTTCTGCTCTCAGCTTATAAGAGGGCTTTAGAGGATCCAGGTCTCTGAACATGATTAATGGGTTTGGAACATATCTAATACTCTGCAATTATAAACTCTTACCTCCTGGATTATGTTGAAATGCTAGAACAGAGCCATTTCCAGGAAGTGAGGAAAATATTGTTACATCTCTATAAATAACAGGAGAAAGTAAAAGAGAAATTAGTTTTGCTTTCCTGCTTATAGGAATCAAATCCCTCTAGTGTCCCAAAGTTAGTTCAGACATCGATAATGGTTTTAATGCTAGACAAAACATATTTAGCTCACATTCTGTGCCAAGGTACTGACGTTCAATATGCACTCTATAATTAAGTTGGTTAATCCTTAGAACCCTATGAGATTGTATCATTTCTATTTTATGGAATATAAAACAGAGAGGTTAAATGACCTTCCCAGGGTCACACAGTTAGAAAGCTGCAGATCCAGGATTCAAACCCAAGCTGAATCTGGCTCCAGTTGCTACACTTAAACTAAAACATCTTATGAGGCTGTATGTGTGCTTGAGTTCCTTCATCCTCAGCCTCAGTTACCTGACCTGTAAAATGGAGATCCTACCACCAATTTCAAGATTATTGAGAGATTAGCAGTAGAGCATTTGTGAATAGCAGTGTTTTATATAGTAGATTTTCAACTGGCATTTACTCCCTCTCTTATGAGGAAAGATTTATTTTTATTTCTGAGAACAAAACTGAGTCAGAGGGCTATCCATCCCATGTCTTCTTAGCTGCAGCCTTGGGGCTATTACGGTTTCGCCCATGAGCAAAGGCTCTTCTTTCCCAGCAGGTAGAAAGGATGGGGTGGGGGTGGGGGTAGTAAAAGTGGGAGGGGCAGATGCACTCCAGCTCCCAGGGCTTCCTCATTCCTTATTCTAGTGAGCCCCTCAGCCTCTGCTCCTCTGCTTCTCAGACCCTCACAGGTGACACTCAGGTGTGAGATGGTTTGGAGCTGCCACTTTGGGGCCAGGACAGAATGAGGCTGCTCACTACCAAGGTTCATGGGTGATTCCCTCCTGGGCTCAGCAAAGACACAGTACTGGCCTCGCTGGTGGGTCTGGAGGTCATTCTCCTGGAGAGCAGCACCACATGGACAGCCAAGGCTCGTGTGACAAACATCAGACTCCAACGTCAGAAATTTTATAATAAATGAACCAAATAACTCCTCCATGGTGCAGCACAGAGACACAAGAAGATGAAAATATAAAAGAAGTTAAGAGATTTGGAAGATTGAATAAGAAAGTCTTACCTATAGAATTGGAGTCCCAGAAAAAAACAAGCAGAGAATAGCGGAAAAGGAGTATCTGAGGAAGAAAAGACTAAGTTTTCTCGCATAAACACATGCATCCACAGATCCAGGAGCACAAAGAAGTAACTAAAGGTGGCCATAAAACCTCTGCTACTCCACCTAACAAAAGGTGGAATCTAATTCTTCTCCCCTTGAATCTGGACTGGCCTCAGCAACTTGCTTAACCAATAGGCCATAGAGGAAATCGTGTTGCATGACCTCAAGGATAAGTCAGAAGCAGCCTTTCAGCTTCCACCTTGGTCTCTTGGAAACTTGTCTGAAGAAACTCAGCCACCTTGTAAAAAATCCGACCTCTGAGAGGTCTCAAGCTACATAGAGAAAGAGGGACACATTTGCACCCAGCCTTCCAGTTGTCCCCAACAACATTCATGGTTAAATGCATGAGTAAAGCCATCTTGGACCCCCCCAAACCAGCCCAGATTTCAGTAAATACCACCAAGAAACTTCTGTCCATTCTACATGGAGTGGGAGAACTGCTCAGCTGACACCTGCCTAAATTTTTCACCCACTAAAGTGAGATAAAAAAATGATTGTTTCTTTAAGCCAACAGCCATCCTGCTCTTTCCTTGACTGAACAAGTCCTGGGGGCATGGCTGGACTTAAGGAGCTGAGATGGAGGTACACCTCCTCTCCTGGCTCAGACAGGGCATCTGAAGGCAACTTGTAAACCTGACAACAGCCACCAAGCTGATGAAGATATCTCCACAGTCCCCTCTGGGGTCCCAGGAATTTTGTCATGGGCTGAGGGTAGGAAAATCAGTGTGGGTTGGGGAACACACTCAGGAGTTGTCTCTGGGGGAACTTGGTGGGGGCCATTGTCAGTGTCACTCTGGCCAGGCTCTCCAGTGGTTCTGTGGACACTCCTCTGGACTCCAGGAAGTGTGTGTGGGTCTCCTTCTATAAGACCCCCATGATATCACAAGGAGACATCCTTAGAGATCACACTCTGGGGCAGGCTGTCTGTCTGTCCTGGCTTTGGAAGGGGTGAGGACAAGGCTATCCGATGGATAAAATAGGACTCTGCTGCAGGGGGAGCCACCTGAAGACCACGGGAGAGTAGGTGGTGTCCACAGTTCACCACGCAGAGATGCAGCAGCCAAGGTGACTCCTGCCCCATTGAAGATGAGCCCAGCACCTAGCCAAGCAAGCCCCTTGATGGCAGAAATTAGTGGTCTGCAGGAACATCAAGAATTTCCCCAAAGCAAGTCAGCCAGAAAGCTCTCAGCTTGAGACCCAGGAAGGGAAGACCTGGAGATATCAGAAAGCTGTGTGATGACAGGGACAGGATACAGCCTGTACTCCAGGGAGAGATGGGACCCAGTAGCAAACTTGTCCCATAAAAAGTCATGGTGTTTCAACAGGTAAGACTCTTGTTTACACAGGTAGTTGCTTTCCTGCTCTAGGAATGCCCTCCCCCACCAGACAAGGGCTGAGAGAAAGTGGCTCCCCTTCCCAGGGTGAGTCCTTTCCTGTCATCCCAAATTTGAGTGGTTAACTGATCCCAGTGAATCAAACAGGGATTGGCCTTGTGGCTGGCCATCCTCAGAGCACTCTCTGGCCTTCCCCATTCTACAAGTGAGGGCCAAACTGCCCAATGACCACCACAAAGCTTGTTGTAGGAACCACAGTGTTAGAAGGGGCTTCTCTGCTGGCTGAGGGCCAGACAACTACACTTTTTTCTGGGGTCTCTGCCCACCTGGTAGTGAAGACTACTGTTTCTACTGGGGCTGAGGAAGAGGCTGTTTTCCAAAGATGCTTCTCACTTATTTCTAGAGAGTTGGTGTCCAGGATGCCATCTGCTGCAGGTGTGGTAGTAATGTGAGGGAGCTTGGTTGAACCAGATGGGACACAGAAGTTCCAGAGACCCCACGTTTCTTCTGAGAGGTGCTAACAGTGAGTATGAAGGAAGTTCTTTGAAATGAGATAGGAGACTTTCTAATCTGAAGCTTCATGATCTTTTTCCCTGAATCTGCTTTAGGATCTTGGCAGATATAATACTTCCTCCTGAAATGTCTACATTGCCCACCTCGAGTGTAGTTCTTAAACAGCAAGACCAAATGCAGAGCCAGAGCTTGGGTGGCATAAACATGCACCCTCTTCTTCCATCAGGACTAGACCATGGGTCTGCTACCACACAGGGCACCCTCTGAAACACGATCTTGTCAGAGTCTGATCCACAGCCAAAGTTCCCCGTAACCCTAAACCTGTGGACACAGACAGCGACATGGCTTTGGGGCCAGGCCAAATGGTCCAACTGCACCTGATGTTCTGAGGAAACTGACTTGGCATCACTGGGAGGGAGAATTTGGCCACCTTGCCTTTCAGGATGACATGGCAGTGTTTCATGGGGATACAGGTTTCTAGCGAAGAAAGTCTGATTCCTGCAGGAGAAAAAGAATAGGGTTAGAGGCACTGGGAAGAAAACCTGTTCAGGTGAGTGCTCACATTTTTGCCTTTTGCACACCTTTCCTGTACTTGGTCCAGGACACAAGTGCATTCCAGTTGCTAAGGAGGTGTGAAGAGAGCGGTTTAAAAAAAATAAGAGAAAAAGACATCACATCCAGCTCATAGGAGTTGATTCTCCCCTGAGCTGGCATTTAGGACCGAGTCTCCCAGAGGAGGGGAGAATGGAGTGGGTAGGGCCTGGCGTCACTCAGAGGAAAGTCATCTTCATAGAAGACATTGAAAAGCAGCCCTGGAACCTGCTGAGAAGAGATTGCAGGGGGACAGCGATGCTCAGCAAGAAGACAAATTGAAAAGTTTTAAGTGCTACACCTAGCTCAGCCTTTTGGCACCTGTGACAGTAAGATTTGTAATAAAATATATATATATATTTTATTTAAAAAAAAATATATATATATATATTTTTTTTTTTTTTCCTATATTTGGTCCTCTTCCCTGTTCCTGGCAGGAAAACTACTAAACCCCTTGGGATTTCCTAAGTGATGAGTGTGATAACGTGTCTTTTGTTATGCTAATGAAGTGAGTTTTGGACTGCTTCTAGGTCACTTAACAATGAGGGCTAGTTGGCAGGGGAACCAATGATTGGAGAGTTGGAACGTTCAGATCCCAGTCCCCAACTTCCAGGAAAGAAAGAGAAACTGCAGGCTGAGTTCAATCACCAATGGCCAATGATTTAATTAGTCATGCCTATGTAATGAAGCCTCCATAAAAACCCAAAAATACAGGATTAAGGGAGCTTCCAGGTTGGTGAATACATGGAGGTTCTGAGAGAGTGACCTCTAGAGAGGGCATGCTGGGGGTGTTCAAAGAACCCCAAACTCCCTAGCAGGTAGGAAGTGCTCTTAAGAAGCTATTATCAGGCAAGTAGTTTTACTCCCTGAATTTCAGTTTCCTTATCTTTAAGACTGCCCTTTCTGTTTCAAAGGGTTTAAGCCAAGGTTTAATCCATAGCATGCTTTTCTATGTTTTCTCACAACTATTTTTATTCTATTGGGAGTGGATGGGGTGGGGGATTCAGACAAGCTTAAGATGAAGCCTTTGAGAACACAGTCCAGTTATGGGCAAAATAATGTTTATAAGGAAAGAAGCATATAAGAGGGCTAGTGTCAGAGTTTAGAGGAAGGGAGAGATTCTCTAAATCCCCCATGTTGTCCCCATCCCTTCTATAGGTGTGGAACTGGGGGGTGGGGGGGCCAGAGGCCTTTCGACCAGAGAAAAAGGCTCCTAAACCCAGAAGTCACTGTTGATCCTTCTCAACCCCAAACTAATCTATCAACATGTCCTGTTGGCTCCTCTGTCAAAATACCCAGAACCCAACTACATTGTACTCCCATCTTGATACTACATCTCTCACTTGGATTATTCTAGTACTCTCCTAACTTGTCGCCCTGCTTCTACTCTTATGGGATGGTCTACACTTCAGAGTGATTTTTATTCAAAGAGATACCACCTCGTTCACATCCTCAAAACCCTGCAGGGGCCTGCTCCCATACCAAGTGAAATCCTGACACCTGAACAGGATATTCAAAGCCTTTCATCATCTGGCAGTTAGTTGCCTCCTGGACCTGCATCTCTCCACCTTGCTCATGTCTCCGCCTCTGTGCTGTCTCCCTTTCTGTTCCTAAAGCCTGTGAAGCTCATTCTTACATCAGAGACTTGGCACTTCTGTTCCCCATTCCTGGGGGGCTTTCCCTCAAGTTCTTCATGTGTCTTTCTCCCGCATTTCAACCAGGTTTCCGCTCAGATATGACCTCAGTCAAAAATAGACACAAACACAGACCAACACTTTCTTATGCTTTTATTCCCAGAACTTAGAACTGCTAGATATTTTTTTATGTTTAATGAGTGGATCACCATCCTCACTAGACCACCACCCTCACTTGAAGAACCCACTTTGATCTTGTTCATTGCTGCATTCCCAGGGCTTAGAACAGCGTTCCCTCAGAATAGAATTCCCTTCCCCTAGAACAGTGCCTAGCAAATGGCAGCCACTCAATAAATTTTGACTGGATATGTAAATAAGTGTCTGTCAACTATTGGACACTCTGTTACTTGAACAGTGGTCAGTAATTACATAAGGTCAGTCATTAGACAACCAGTAGGAGGAGTTACTGGAGGAGGTTTCAACCTAATATGTTACATAAAAACCAGAACAACCATGTCCCTTATTTCTGAGGATAATAAGCAGAGTCCACATAGCAGACATGGATGAGAGCAGGACAGTAGCTTTCAAACTTGAGCAAACCTCAGAATCACATGGAGGGCTTGTGAGAAATAATTTACTAAGCCCCTCCTCCAGAGTTAATTCGGTAGGTCTGGGGTGGGGCCTGAGCATTTGTATGTCTACCAAGTTCCCAGGTGATGCTAATGATTCTGGGCATCTCACTTTGAGAACCATTCATATAGGTTGAACTACACAATCACCTTGATTCATTTCTATCCAGAGAAGCCCAGGGTGAAACTTTCTTAAAGAAAACCAACTTGCCTGCACCTGCCTGTACCATGTGGCTCCTAATAGCTGATCTTGGCTCATAATGTGCCGTCTCCCCTTTCAACATCTCTCTAAGCTTCGAAGAAGGGTTCCCTTATTCTCTTGGCCAAAGTGTTCAAATTTCAAGTCTCACCTCCTCTGTGGAGCTTTCCGTGACTACACTGCCCATGTGCCCTCCCACTTCTTCCCACCTGTGAAACTGCTCTCATGGTTTGGACACTAGATCGTCTTCTTAATCACTACTGTTCCTAATCACCCTACACGCTTGTCTCTCCTCATCACAGACCAGAAACAGAAGGGCAAGTCTACAGGACATTGTGAACGTCCCCTGTGAGGGCTCAGACCATGCCTGGAACAAGATTCCACAGGGTCTGCTGCTGTATGCCCCTACTGCACAGAGATGATACCCAGCCTCTGGAACTCACTGCTCACTGAGTGGCCTTCAGGGGTATCTAGGGAGCAGCAGGACAGGACTTCATTCTGGGTCATTTAGAGCCTAGATGCAGCTGGAAAAAGAAGAAGAAAATAACAGTAGAAAATTTATCCTTCACCTCCAAAGCTTCTAAATCTGGGCCTGCTAGAAATATACCACCCAGAATAGCAAAAGCAGCCTTCTTCTTTGTCCCTTCTTCTAGGGACAACACAACAGATGCAAAAGGTAAAGTGAGTACCAGAAGACATGCAGAGGAGGTTGAGGTTCAGCCCCAGTGGAGACGCCAGGTGGCCAAGCAGATGTTACTGGGGTGGTCTCAGAACTGGCTTGACATTAGTATCACCTGGGAAGCTTGTAGATACCCCAATGAACAGGCCTCACCCCAAACCAATTAAGTCAGAATCTCTGAAGTTGGAACCTAAGCCTCCCCAGGTAATTTCCACGTTCAGCCAAATCTGAAAAAAGCTGCTGTATTCTCTTCTAACGGTAGGCCCACAGATATGACAGTATAGAAATAGCAGAGTTCTTCACTTTACTTGGATTATTCATTTGGGCCCTTAGGATGGTCCTGGTGCTTGGCTGCCCCATGCTGCTCAGCTCTGAGAAACAGCTCCATGCAGGGGAAGGAACGCTTCCATAGAGATCAAATATTAGCCAATGGGATTCCCCCAAGGCCCAACCTCAAGGTTTTATCTCTGCATCAAATAGTGTCATCAGGTTTGAGTTCCTAAGAAAGCTATGGGCCATGCACTCAGCCCTATCCTTTATGCCAGAGTTAATTTGGAGGCCACCTTATGTAGGAAGATTCTCCAGAACAGAACCACCAACCTCAGCTGCCTGCAGCAGGCTTGGCACCAGGGCCAACTCTGATCTTATTTCCTAGTGACTCCCTGGAGTTTGGGGGTAAAGATAGAAGACACTAGAATAAAATAATTAGTCCTGATCTTAGGAGTGCCATAATTTGATGAACACTTAGACTTTATACACATTTTGTAAACATCCTTGACTTGTCTATGTCCTTACAGTGTCATCTGCCTCTTCTGCAAGAGCTCGCCTGCCTGGCCCATTATAGTTTCTTTGCCGAAGGTGTTGGCCTAGCCTCCCCCACAGGTGACAGGCGTCCTGAGGTCAGTGGCTAAGCCTTACTGGCCTGTGGTCATCACAGCGTAGGATCTCTATGAGCGTTGATAGAAAATGTGGGCAGAAATTTTTGGAAAAGAGGAAGGCTGCTCTTCCCCTTTCAAGGAAGGCTCTTTTGAGAATTCATCATGATCAAGGGCACAGTGTGTGGCATGCAGTGAGAGTTCAACTTGGGATAGAGCTCACAGCGTCACTCACTACTATCCAGGGGCCTGAAGTACGACAGAGGCCTTTGCTCACCATACCCCCACTACCTCCTCACTCCCCAGCATAGTTATCAGCAGATAGCCCCAGGCACCTACCCCTCAGCTTCACCTCCTTGTCTGGGGACACTCAAGATACTGATATGCAGTCTGGAAATTGGGGCAAACCCCACCCCCCACATGGGCACAGTCATGTGCCACCCACTCTTAGATGGTCTCCTCAACCCAGGGCTCTCTGACAGCAACAGGGTGGCAGACCAGACTCTCCCTGAATGAGGAACTGAACAACCCCTGTATACTCACCACCTTCTCCCTGGGCCCGAGAGTGGACCAGACATGAGGCTGGGCCTGAGACTTGACTGTGAACTTGGGCCTGGGCCTTGCCCCGGGAAGCTTCAATTCTAGCCATCAGGCATAAGGGAGACCAAGAGGAAAAAAGGCCACTGGGGAGCAGGGGCCCCATTCTAGCTGAGATTGCCTTTCCTCTATAAGCAGCAGGGGTCTGAGGCCACACAAAGTCTCCACCACCTCCTCCCATTGGGCAGCCCTGGCCTGGGGTAGCGGGGGGGGGGGGGGAGTAATTAACTGAAAGGCACCTGTTCTGCATTATCAATGAAGGGCAGGACGCCCCACCACAAGAGGAATTTAACC